CTCACAAACTGCTCCATTTTCTGAGAGGCAGTCTTCACTGCAATGGAATATTCCATCAGGGTTATTACATTAGTGATACCAATAGAAAAGCAAACACACGGGGAAAACATCTCCTTTGCCACTATTCCGGCAAGTCAACATCTAGAGCAGCAAATATTAGTGTATCTGCTTAACACTTTATCGCCAACTATCACAACATGGTAAACAGGAAATGGGGAAAGTACAGTGAAAATGTGAGTATGAAATAGTCGACTACTAAACCAGGCTCGGGTTCTACAACAGATTAGTGGCAAAGCACCTGACTTGTAAGCATAAGGTTGGGAGTTTGATCCCAGGGCGACTCCACGTATGCCAGTTGGGCTTCCTAAGAGTACTATGCTTAGGATTCCTAGTGCCACAATGAAGTGCACAAGCATGTGTATGCAAATATCACAGTCAAGGACACAAGCCCTGCAAATCATGTGTGTGCAAGCAGTGGACACAGTAACAACAATAAAAGAGCAGAAAAGGGGGAATTTCTGATGCAAAAATTTAGTAACTATCTACTTGAGCTCAAAATTACGTTTCTTCATTTCAAGGATCTTTTTTCCAGTACACGTATGTATATATGTATGCAAGTTATTTGTCATTTATACATCATTCATTTAAAGTGAATCCAATTTTTTTTAAGGAGATGGTGAGTTAAAAATAGGGTTTACAGATGTTCTAATCAGACACTCGACTTCTTGCCTGCCAGTTAGGCATAAAGAATCCTCCTGCCCCTCCTGTTCTTCACGACACATTAATCAATATCTACTAGATGAGGTGCTGGCAATAATTGAAGTTGTTTGATGAAACCTAAAGGATGCATATGATGCGAGGGGCAATATGCATCTTTGACGAGGGAGATTTAAGAAGGTGCATTCATAAACAGATCTATTTTCCATCCCACACTTGAAAATAGTTAAGAAAGGAAGCAGTGGGTTTTCCGTTAAGTGGTTTCCCCTTGAAACTGCTGAGTTTAAAAAAAAAAAAATGAAGCTGGCAAAGGAGTTTTCTAAAATGTCTCCAGAGTCAGGTGAAGGTGCAGTGAAGGGAGACGGCCTGGTGAACTGAGCTAGAATTACAGTCTGCCGCAAGAAGCAGTTCCCAGAACAAGAGGGCCGAGTTCCACCAGCAATTCTCAGGAAACCCTCGCTCTGAGGACACGAACGCCCCAGATGAGTTATTTCAAGAAGTGGGTCCCTAGACACAGGATGGCTGCACTCATTTGTGGAATATAAAATAACAGTATGAGACTAACACCCAAGGACAGTAGAGCCAAGGGTCAGGAGGACGGCTCCATGGTTTGGAAGCCTGCCTCATGTGTTGGGGGAGGAGGCAGCTGGGATAGAAAAGGGACCACTAAGTCAATGATGGTGGGAGGGATCGCTCAGGATGGGAGACGTGTGCTGAAAGCAGATAAAGGACCAAACAGGATGGCCTCTCAGGATCTGTATTGCAAACCATAATGCTCCAGGAGAGAGAAAGTAAGAAGGAAGGTAACTGCCACACAGGCAGGGGAGGGGTGGCAGAAGGGATACTGGGGACACTGGTGGTGGAAAATGTGCACTGGTGAAGGGATGGGGATTCTACCATTGACTGAAACTCATTCATAAAAGCTTTGTGACAGTATCTCATGGTGATTCAATTAAAAAAAAAGTGGGTCCCTTTTATCACTACAGTTTTGTTTTCTGTCTATTAATGACGCTAATTTTTTTTTTTTTTTTTTTTTTTTGCTTTTTGGGTCACAACCCATGATGCTCAGGAGTTATCCTGGCTCTGCACTCAGGAATTATTCCTGGCAGTGCTCAGGGGACCATATGGGATGTTGGAGCTCAAACCTGGGTCAGCCACGTGCAAGGCAAATGCCCATCCCACAGGACTATCACTCCAGTCTCAACGATGATAATTTTTTTTTAATCCACCTCTCATTCATCAGTATTGGGTTTGGTTTTTCTGTTTTTATCTTTTTTCCTGGTTTTACTACTTTATTTTTGGAGGCCACAGCAGGCTGTGCTTAGGGACCACTCCTGGTGGGCTCGAGGAGCTGTGTGGGGTGTCGGAGACAGAACCTGGGTCAGCCGTGTGCAAGGCAAGCACCTTACCCACTATCCTAGTACGATGCCTCCTTTCCTCTGGTTTTATTTACTTATTTTTGCCCCTTTCTCATGGTGAACTGTCTTTAGTTCCTTTCAATGAGTCAAGCAATTCCTATGGCATAGTCTCAAGTGGTGAGACAGCGACAGGAAATAGAATGTCTTGGGTCTGAGGTCCCGCAGTTTGTCCTGTCACTTTTGGGGGGGGGGTCTTTTTGGGTCACACCTCATGACGGTCAGTGGTTACTCCTGGCTCTGCACTCAGGAATTACTCAGGTGCTTGGGGGACCCTATGGGATGGCAGGGATCGAACCTGGGTCGGCTGCATGTAAGGCAAACACCCTCCCTGCTCTACTGGGGCTCCTCTCTTAATGGCCTTTTCTCCCTTTGCTGAATGCCCTGGGGAGGCAAAAAAGCTTCCCGGGAGTCAGTGTCCTTTGGGGTGACAGAGCATGGTGGGGAAGAACCCCATGCTCTGGACTTGCCAGCCTGCTGGCCCCCCAGGGAACTCTCCCAACCCCCCTCCCCCCCCCCCCCCCGCCCAAGGATCAGGTCCCACCACGCTCTTTGCTTCACAAGCCGTGGAGCCTCCGTTGCATGCATGTGCTTCATTTCATCTTTCCTCCGCCAATGCGTTCTCCTGTGTGTGGTTCTGCAGCACTAACCACTCGTCCCACCTGCCAAGTGCTTCCCGAAAGCCTGACTCTCTTGGCGGGCCACTTAGCACCTTTGACTCGAATTTTTGTATTTCATTGTCATCCTTTGCTTCTGGGCAAAATGCTAAGACTCTCAGGGCTCAAGACTCTCACTGAGACCCCACTAAATTGTGGGGTCACTCTGTTCCTTCTTAGTAAAGGAATCCGCTCACGGGGATTGGGCCGTGGCTAGTTGGGGTAGACCCAGAAGTGGCGATGAAAGGTCTCTGCTTTAGGACAACAGAGAAGAGAAGGGCAGTGGTGTCTTTTACAGCAAGAATTTCAAAAGGTCGTGTCCTAACCCAACTTGTTATGGCTTACACGGCGATCCATGAACTGAACAAATATTTGGTGTTTTTCGGGTAAAGTATAAAGCTATACTTAGCATCCTCCGTTGATTTGTACAAATAGCTATTCAGAAATCAGCTACACCTTCGGGGTGAACATTAGGATTTGCTATAAATATAGCATTCATTTCTGCAATCTTGCATTTGATTAAAATGCTAAATTTAAGTCTAAGTGGTATTTGGTTAGTCCTTTCTGAGCCCAAATGAGCTCCACACCCCAGCCCCCTGTGCTAACTATCCAAAGTTCTCTTGAGTCGAGCAACCATGGGCCAGTTGATTACCCTATCAGCTAACGATATATCGATCAATTCATTTTCCTGCCCACCACACATCTAGCGCAACTACTGGCCTGAACAATATAAGCCTCAGATTTACTACAAACAAGGCAAGACCGCCCTGCTCCAGCCATACTTGATTCTTACAGAGCATTACTTGCATTTTCAGGCTTTGCGGCAAAGAACTACGGGAATACCGACATGTCTATAATATTTTTTTTAAAAAAAGCAAGTCATTATTGTCCTACTTTAATCCAAAGTCTCAAAGTTGACAAGTAAATCTTAAGCCTTGACTACAAGGAGCTGGTAAAATAAAAAATAAATAATTAAATACATGTGAGTTGCAAAACTGAAACTGCTAAATTTCCTCATTCTATATTTATAATTAGCAATCAAATTTCTATCAACTCTGTTTTCGAAAACACTAAAACCGGTTGTTGGTATCAGGGGGGTCCCAAATCAAATCGACAGGAGAGAAACAAATCTTTTAAGATTTTAAATCTGAATTTGAACTTATGTAGTTAACTTTAGCAACAGTTCTGGCTTGGTTTTAGATTTGTAGGATGTTATTCGTTTCAGCAAACTAAGACAAAGACCTGACTTCATTAAAAATCCAAGGGACTGGTGTGTCTACTTGGCACATTATCCCCACTTCGGAGATTTCCAGTTCATAATGATGAACTTAATATTTTTTATTTTACAAGGAAGAGCCCAGGACCCCAGTATGAACTTGTCCATCTAAACGGCGCCCCTTCGCCTGTATTCTATGCTTTTAATTATTGAAGTTTTGACCCTCCATGTCACATTCACTCATCTGCACATCAGTTATATTGTTGGACAAGCATCCTGGCTTGGGGGGAGGTACGGGACTGAAACTAGAGATCTGGCATCATCACATTTTCCTTTTAAGATGTGTAATCATGGGGCTGATAGTACAGCAGCCAGGGCACTTGCCTCGCACGCGACTAACCCGGGTTCGATTCCCAGCATCCCATATGGTCCCCTGAGCACTGCCAGGAGTAATTCCAGAGTGCAAAGCCAGGAGTAATCCCTGTGCATCACCAGGTGTGACCCAAAAAGCAAAAAAAAAAAAAAGATTTGTAATCATGAGCAAACAGAAAACTATCAAACTCTATGTCTCCTGGATTTCCACTTCACCTCTTCCTTTCTCTAGCTAAAGAAATCCTTTTCGAAATGCATGCCCACACCCAGGCATCCTAACTTACTGACAAGGTGAAAGGGAGTTCAACTCATGCGAGGTTCACTGCAGGCTGCCAATGGATGCAATGCATTACTAGCAGCCGCAACTAGACAAACTTTGAGGCCTTGTGGCCCAATTCTGAGTTGGGAAATGAAAGGGCAGCAATAGAGGAACCAAGATTGGGCAACATGTCCTGGGGAACTGAGGCGACAGGAGTGAATGGCGAGGAAACACAGACAAGAGGAGCAGGTGGATACAAAAGGGGAACACAGGTGGTCATTTCACTCTGGGTGAAGTGCCACCACAGCACCAAGCAGCCTTGGCTTTGAAGGGGCTGGGGGCTGGTAGGGTGGGTCTGTCCTTACCTCCAGGTGCTCTAAGATATAAGGTGGATTTGTCATGCCAAGCCTGAGCATCGCTCCCTCGGGAATCACTTCCACCAGCTTCCAGAGCAGCTCGGGGAGACTGCTGCCAATATCTCTGCCGTAAGCGCCCGTGTCTTCACTGGTCAGCCATATCTCACAAACGCCCTCTGTGAATCAAAGGAGATAATTAACCAATCGGCGGCAGCAGTGGGGCTTTTCCTGCATTTTCCAGCTGCTCACTCGGGGCAATGCAGTATTTCTCAACCCCTTTATGCAGGCAATCTGGGTATTATTCAACAGCAGAGAAAAAGCAGCTCTTCCTTCGGTGGCACTGGGTGATTCAGTTCACTTTATGGACAACAGAGAGTTTACAACAATGCTGCAAATTATCCATGTGTCTTATAGAGTAATTCGCATCCACTGTCAATCAGGTCAACGGGACTTCTGCCAAAGGACTACAATCAAGGCTAAGCCTTCAGTCACATCACGAAGAATGCCACGTTCACTGAAAACCATAGGCCCTGGAACTGAAACACTCATCTGCAGAAGAGTCCCATCCACGGTTCATTCATTCATCAGGCTGTCATCAACCCACAGGAAAACGTCAAGTACAGTTAAGGTTTAGCTCGCCATTATTAATGGCGGGGACTGATTTTCTCTAAGTATTCAAATATTGCCTCTATTCAATTAAAACCAAGGGTTCGCCACGTTTCTACGTGCAGTAAGGGCAGATGCTGTGGAAAGAAAGTATTCGTGTTGGAAAACATGCTTGCTAATCATGATCCCTGAGGAAAAAGCATGCATGTTCGGTTCTTCCTATTGTTAGGACAAAGAGTTCTGACTTCAGAGGATTATAACCAAGGAAAAAGATTCTTCCAGAAATCAAAAGGAAATCTCATTGAATCCCTTCATAGGATTTAAAATAAAACCCAGTACGCGCTCCCCACGTTGTCAGGGCACCTGGGATGCTTCCACGGATGGATGAGCCTATCATAGAAGGCTGTATGATTCACAGGCTCAAGCAGTGAAATGGGGCCTATGAATTTTGTTCCTGCTCGAGTGATCTGTCGCTTCTGAAGAAGCTCCCAATACACAGAGGCGGCGATGAGGAGCGGAACCGAAGGTCTCCATTTCTGAAGTCTTACAATGACCCTTTGAAATCGTCTTTTATTGACAGAAGAGGGGGAAAAAAAGTCAAAAATAACGGAAACAGCTCAAGCTAAGAGGAAATGACTCAGAGGTCAGTGGGGATTTAAAACTGGAGAAAAAAGAAGCAGAGGCCAGGGAGAGCAGCATCTGCCTTGTACCTGGCGAGGCAAGTTCAAACCCCAGCAGGGTATGTTCTCCTGAGCACTGCCACACCACCCACATCCTTGGATGCTGCCTGCACAGACCTACCTGGCTGGTCTGCCAAGAATCACTGGGAGGGACCCTGGGTCTCCTGAAGCACCTCCTGGGAGACATCCCCCCACAACACACACACACACACACACACACACACACACACACACACACCCTCAAAGGGGAATAAAGAAACAAAAAGCAAAGATCCTCACTCTCAAGAGTGCTAAAATTCATAATAAGCTAATATCTTTAACCACTATTCTCTCTCTTAGAATAAGGGATATAATCTCTTAAATAATAATAATAATAATAATAATAATAAAAGAGGGCTAGAAAGATAGCTCAGAGGTTAGCGCACATGCCTTGCATGGGGCCGATCTGGGTTCAATCCCTGGGCTAAATCCCATATGGTCAATCCAGTATGGTTCCCTGAGCCTGCCAAGAGTGATCCTTGAGCACAGAGTCAGGAGTAACACCTGAACACTACTGGGTGTGACCCCAAAACAACAATAAAACATTAAAAAAAATTAAAACAATGAGTCTACTCAAATAAAAACCTCTTCACATTCCCCCCTTTATCTGAGACTCCATCTTCTCACCCCTGCATACAAAGCAAAGAAAAACTTGAGGAAAGAAAGAACAATTACTGTGGCCAAAGAAAAGAATCAATGACTTGAGGAGAGACCAAAAAATAGGAGATAACAAAAAACAGAACCACTGAAAGAATTAGACATGCTTTTAGTATTTGAAAGTCCTATACGGAGGATCTCTTCATTTAAATATGTAGCTCCCAAAATTAATAAACCATTCTTTAATTTTAATCTTTAATAATTTTATTATCAAAATAAGTAATCTAGCGTGACAATTAGACTACCTTTGTAGTCTTATAATTTTATAAATATGTTCAGTTCATGAAGTAAATGTCTTTCTATTTTAGAAACTCAGTTGTGATCAACAGTGTGTCATCATAATTTTCATATTATAATATGTGCTATTAGACACTGAATTCATACATTTAAAAAAAAAATCTTATCACAAAAATCCACTCCAGGAAAAGAGATGGCTAAGTAACAACATAAATGGATTTTAAAACACTCTAAAAGAGGTTATAAAAACAGGACATTATCCATGATTTTCCAGTTACTGGCATTTGAGCAACACAATATGAATATTTTTAAATGAACAGAATAATTTTAATTTATAATTTTTCCATCCAAATGGTTCCACATTCCGCCTTATGTAGAGAGAGTGAGTTCCTGGAACGGTGCCTTGCTGTTGCTAGATGAATATAGAAGGGGAAGATCACTCTGACTCGGAATAGAAATAACATCCCCTGTAGAAACCATAACCGCTCCATCTGAGCAGCATAGGTGGGGACCAATGGCCCCCTGGTGGGCTGAAACTTCAAATTAAATCACAGAAAGAGGAAGCAGCTGTAGCACTAAATCAGCAACAACAGGAATAACGGTCTGGACGTCTCCGAGATCAAGGCTGCTGAAATGTTCTGTAGCACAGCAACCTGCTCTCAAACCCGGCAAACGAGAGGGTGCCACGTGAATCCCCCGGCCTCCAGTTGCCATTGCCCCTTCGATCCCCAAATCTGTTGAAGATGATACCGCTCTTCAGCGGCACGGCCAAGTTCAGACCTTTCGGGTTCTATTCCAAGCTCCTGCTTTAGAGTACAGGTCAATTTCCACCTGTTCAAATGAGAACTGTACGCCCTGAAGCATCAAACTCCAGGAAGTCACTTCACCTACGAGGAGAAGACAAAGATGGGCTCCCCCAACTCTCTACTCCGTGAAGCCCCCTGATCACCAGCTCTCAGACCAGCTGGTAGATGAACTCGCCAGGGACATCGAAGGCCACTGTCAGTCGTCACTCAGGGATATTGGAATGCCAGTGGGCTTCTGTCGCCACACCTGACTGGCTACACAGATGCAGAGAAGTGCTTGCCCAAACAGCTTCAATCTCTAAGGGATTTTTAAAAGAGGTTTACCGCATCCGTTTCTAGCATGTGCCCTGCATCTCTTGCAGCTCGGCACAGATACGGATTCGTCATCAGGCTGCTGTGATCTAAGATTAACTATTATCCAGGAGCGAGCAGGGGAAGCACGCGGGCAGGCAAGCTGGGAGTCTCATTTCCGGCTCTGCTGGAGGAGTGGGTTGGCACGGACTGAGAGAGCAAGTGAAAGACAAACAGGATTGGCTCAAGGAGGCTGTGATGTTAGACCGTGAGGCAGGCTGGGTCCGAGAAAGCAAAGATGAAAAAGGCAAGCAAGGTGGAAGTACTGAGATAAGAGAAGTGAATGCAGGAGTAGGGGAAGGAAAGAAGGAAGGAAGGAAAGAAGGAAGAGAGGGAGGGAGGGAGGGATGGGAGGGAAGAAGGGAAGGAGGGAGGGAAAGGAAAGGGAAGGAAGGGAGGGAGGGAGGAAGGGAGAGAGGGAGGGAGGGAAAGGAAAGGGAAGGGAGGAAGGGAGGAAGGGAGAGAGGGAGGGAGGGAGGGAGGGAGGAAGGAAGGAAGGAAGGAAGGAAGGAAGGAAGGAAGGAAGGAAGGAAGGGGAAAGGAGGAAACAGAGAGATAGGGAAATAGAAATTAGTTTTATTTGAATGATACAAGGAAAAGTTTTCCTATCCCTAAGACGGTTCATCTATCTGACTTGCTCATTTTCTAAAACTGCTCAGTCTATTCAGCCTTTCTAATAAACAGGTTCATCAGATCCTCTATCATTCTTTTGCTGTGTAGATTTTGGTACAATGAAAAGCAAAGGAACTAAATGAAACACATCTTACATGGGGAAAACAGGCAAAAAAGTTTAGTTCTCAGCATCCATTATCATTTTACCCAAGTATATATGCACATTACAGATGAGCATATCGGTGAAACACGTAGCTATCTCCCTTCCCCCCGCATCCAAACAGAACAACCTTAATGTCTGGATTCTGATCTCTGCTCCACAATTATCTGAGTTGACAGAGGATAGAAAAGTAAAAGATGTAAAAGGTTAATAATAAAGGAAAGCTAATCTCCTCAATAAAATAGTCTTAAAAAGAAAATTCTGGAAAAAAAAGACTTTTCAAAGCTCAGTTTTAAAAGACTGTGACTATCACTATTGCTTTTCCTGTATATGAGCTGCATTGTAATAAATTAAAGTAAGGGTGAAGATTGATCTCACCTGGCCAGAGAAATGAAATATTGCCCTTGCAGCCTTTGCTATATTATTGAGAATATTTTTCACCTTAATAGGTTGCTTCAATTATTCTGAGTGACATCTCTAAAAATAAGGATTAGAAAATATAAAAACTGCGAACAATGATTAATGGAATCCACAGTTAGAGAATTCTAGATGGCAAGAAGAAAATCTACATCACCTTGACATGGAATAAATACATATTTGTATATAAAAGAGATAGAAAAAGGACCACCACCCAACTATGAGGACTGCCCCTTTAAAGACCCCTAGAATTCCTTTGGACCCACTTAACCCTACTGACTCTCAATGGTTTAAGATGTGGGTGACAATTTTTATTAAAGACAGCACCATGTTTGCTACAACCAGGATGTGTCCGGAAGATAGTAGTCTATGTGAGCAAGGACAGAGAAAGGGAAATAAGACAAATATTCTATGATATCAAGTAGCACTGTAGCACTGTCTTCCCATTGTTCATCGATTTGCTCAAGTGGGCAACAGTAACATCTCCATTGTGAGACTTGTTGTTGCTGCTTTGGGCATATCGAATACGCCAGGGAGAGCCTGCCAGGCTCTGACATGTGTGTGGGATACTCTTGATAACTTGCTGGGCTCTCCGAGAGGGACGGATAAAT